TTGGGCTTCGAATTGCTTCCGCATCCACCGTATTCTCCAGATCTGGCCCCCAGCGACTACTTCCTGTTCTCAGATCTCAAAAGAATGCTCGTTGGGAAAAAATTTTCGTCGAATGAAGAGGTGATCGCCGAAACTGAGGCCTATTTTGAAGCAAAGGACAAATCGTACTACAAAAATGGTATCGAAAAGTTGGAGGATCGCTATAATCAGTGTATCACCCTTGAAGGGAATTATGTTGAATAAAAAAAACGAATTTTGCAAAAAAAATGTGTTTTACTATTTTAGGCCGGGGACTTTTTAATTGACCTGTTACTTCCACACGTTTCATTGCCCATCCAATTTGTTGTTTCTGATGGATGTCCAGACGAAATTATCTCTAAAGTAGGTTCCGCAAACGTACAAACTGTGCTGTCAACTTTCTCAGGATCATAAGGATACCGTCATGTCCTTTTGTTTGATAGTCAGCAAAGCGCTTACTTGCTGTATTGTATCATATCTATTGCCATGTAACCTTACAACATCTGGAGCAAACTTCAAGAAGGATGTTGTAAACTGTAGTTTTATCTGACTTCTTCAGAAGATCGAGTAAAGTGAGTCTAATGGGCTGTTACTAAACCTTTTGAGTAGGCTTGTACATGTTACGTCTATCAGGCAAATGCAATCTTTTAATAATTTTACAATGAGTAGTGTTACATGTGATGTTCTACCATAATGTAGGAATTCAGACAGCGATCTCATCGTCAGCGATTTCTCCTTTTCCACTGCAGAAGATGATGATAACACTATTGTTTTGACGTACACTGTAACTACTTATTTCAACTTTAAGATCGCTGTTTGTCAGTTGTAATTGCAAAGTAATGGTTATGTTATACATCGGGACGGATATAGCTTATTATTCCTGGAAATTAATTATGAATTTCTGTTGCTTTATCGGACAAGATGACTGCATTGTTGTAACAACCATTGTTTGTTTAGTCTGAATGTATTCCAGAAGTAGTCGTATCACGTATTTTGATTTTTAATGCTCCAATATGCATGCAGCGCTGTCATCTTTACCACTTTGCAACGCACTTCTTCTGAAATCGAAGAATAACTTTGAAAATTATATGAAACCAATTTATAAAATTAGTCCAATGCATTCTCGTGTAGGAATTGACTCTTTCGTTAGTGCTCCAGATAAAATGAAGGAGACCATGACAATTAGATTATTATTGCCTAAGTTATCTTTTAATTACATTTAAAGGCCTGTAATGGAATTAATTTCACGGACTTAAATAAAAGCCTCGGCAGCCAATAGTACGTACGAGAAATGTAAACATATTCACTAGCTCCGTAGCAGTCAACCAAAATAATCCACAATTTTATCTGTCAACTTGACACCCATGTGATGGGAAAATGTATTGTTAAAAGCCCACTACGTAACCAACTTAAACAGGTGGTGCTTTTCGAATTATAAACGCTATTGCTTCACAAAAATATTTTGCAAACGATATAGAAAGGTATGGGTAAAGTGTTGGTAAACTATGTGTGTTGGTTCATGGATACGTCCGTCTTCTTTTTGTCGTTACACTTTTTGAAACATTAATACTCAATTGACAGTAATAAAGACCATCATGGTCATGATTTTTGATGAAAAATAACTTTATTCGCGGTCAACACAGATCCCAGACTCTTCAAGTAAAAACAGGAATGTCAAATTTTCTTCCAAATATATTGAGCCATCTATATAGGTACCTACCTATGTTAGATACCATCCGCAATGCTGTTGAAAGCAGAATGAATTAGAATCGCGTTTGTATCAGAATAGCGGTAATTTATGAAATTTCCAAATAAAACTTGAAATGCGAAATATTTAGGCATTACCAATTTTGGCGTTTGACGTTGTTTTATAAATAATAGCTAAATTCCATTGGTTTTGGAAAATCCCTCTTCCTGGTATGTGATGGTCATGCAGTGAATTGGGTTTCTCAGTTTTGAGTGTTCATAAAATGAGTCGTCTCTAAAAGTCTTCCAGACTTGTTTTTTAACCCATTAACTCATGTATTCCTTGCTAGCCGTTCGATTCGGTAATTGAATGAGCAACTTAATTACTGTTTATTGTTTTCGCGTAGGCATTAATGGTTACACCTAGGAGTAATAACAATAACCAAATAGGTTTGTCCATTTTAATGGCGCTTAATCAATTTACAACAAGCTTTATGCAGTGGCGCAGGATGATACGGTCACAGGGTTTTACCCATTTCTTTTTGGGTTTATATTAGTTATATACATATAAAAGTACAGGTCGGACGAAGGAAGCTGGCGAGCGATCGCGCAGGTACTTGCCCATTTATGACCTATTTGGGTAAGTCACTTGGAACCGATACACAAATAAGCTTTCAGTAGGCGTAAATTATGCTATTAATACACATAGGACAGTAGCGTACTAGAAAATTATGGAGAAACATAACTTACCAAAAGAAAAAAAAAACTATTGCTCTTGTTTTATAGTTAGTTTTCTGTCATCATGGAAATCTCTATCACTGTCACCAACATCAACAATTAGTTCTTCTATTTGTTTGTCTATTACTTGCTCACCGATCCCTGCTTTTAAATATTTAATCTACGCCCCTGATAGGAATACTGAAGAAAGAGGACTGCAATCGTTATACCTAAAACTGCCTACTTTTGCCACTGCGCATCCACGCCACTTTAAAATTTCAACCAGCTTCCAGCGTCAGGCCTGTACGTCCCTGTGTTTTATTGTCATTTGGATTTTAATGTAAACCTGCGAGGTCATTCCTTGCTGATAGAAAACCTCGGAAAAGACGAATGTTCCTATACATTAAATTAAAAGTTTCGACATTGTATGTTCAATAAAAAAGAGTGCGGGATGACTGTCTACACGGCTAACACGTGGGTGACTAAAACACACTCCATACATATGAATTCCTGTATGTAGATGGCTGAGGGAATTTATACCAATTTTCCTATACTACGTTGTAGATGATGCTGCCCTTTGATGAATGCATGTAATGGAATCTATAGTTTATATATTCTGCGAGGAAAATCTTTGTGGAACGTTAATACTGATACGATTTTATCGTATTTTTTCTGGATGTACCATAGGTTTTCATCTCTCACAACAACCAACGTTTACGTCCCATAAAATCTTTTAATTCACATTGTGGTCTGTTTTGCATATCTATGTTTTGATTAACTTGTGCTGTTGCCCAACTGTAAAATGAAAATAAATTTTGCGACCGCACTTTGACTACGGCTGTTAACTTGGTAAATTGGATTTACATTGGAGACTGGCGACCGTAGAACATTAGAAATTAATAATAGATCTATTTGACAATAAGCTTTGACCTTATCTTTACTGCCATCCGGACCGTTATCCAATGGTATAATAGCGAAGGCAGTAGCCACTTGCATAATTAATATTGACGTTTTCGAAGAGTTCCACTGTTGTTTTCTTTGATTGTGGTCAGTGAGGCAACCCACTTTGTAGTGGAATTAGACGGGAATGAAATATCGGCGTTTACATTTCGATTTCTGAATCTCACGCAATTGCTTTTGCAATACAACATCGGCAGTATAAATGGGTAATGCCTTTCTGGTTTCTATAGGAGGTTCATATTCAGTCATATTCAGGATAGGATGCACTTTTTTAACCCTGGTCATTAATCTTTCTTTAAGCCGTTGAGAAAGGATATTACATTTTTTTAATTAGCTCGTTGGGCATGTGGAATTGTTAATAAACTATTAATTGACCACAACGGCAGATAGGTCAAAACAATTCGCCGATAATAATCATTGGTAGGAAATCCGTTTCATAAGCACACATAAAATAATGTTGATTTGTAACTACCTAGTGTACAGTAGTGTCATTTGTGCCCAAGTGCCGTAATGTCAAATCAAAATTAATTACTAATTAAGGCTTCAATTTGTAAGTTATCTTATTTTAAGTCTACCAGACAACCCTTTTCTGTCCAAAACGTTATCAGTAATTGCTAGTTTTCTTTTGTGAATCTTCTATGTTTCTGTTTCTATTCCAGAGGACAGTGAAGATGAATTAGAAATCTCCGATCAACCTCTTCAGTTGACGGACGAAGATTGTTCAATGGAACAGGCGATGCTCCCTCAAAATAACGAGTCAGATACCGGCTACCCATTAAGTTCCCCGCCTCACAGCCGCGGCAACGAAGATTTATCATACACCAGCACCTCGGGGTTTAAACAAACCGACAACCAAATAGTCGATGGTCCCAAGCTCACCTTGAAACCGGTCAATCAGTTATACGACAATTTCTCCAAAAACCATACATCCCCCAATTACAATCAAAATTCCCCTAGTTTTAATCCGAATCCTGCCAATTTTGACATAAATAATCCTGATCTTAGCCGATATTATGGAAATCACGAACTTACCAATGGACTGACAGTGGATAAAGAAATAGTTCGCAATAATCAATATCCCAATTTCTCACCTCATGTATTGCCAAAAGAATTGGAGTTTCGTAATGGAAGTATCTATTCAAGAACTTTAATTCTAAAGGGCAACAGGTATGGACCATTCTATGGCAAATGGGAAGGAATGCCCCAGGACCGTAAATATGCATGGCAGGTAAGTGATTAGTAATAATTAATTGAGTAAAAGTAAGTTTACGACGGCCTCCTTGAGTTTAGCTTCGAATACAGTAGAACCTCGATAAGATAAAGACCACGGGAAACGTAAAATAATTTGAGTTATTGAAGTTTTTACTTACTAAGGGTTTAAGTTTTAAAATTATGGATTTCCAGTGACGTAACAAACTGTTCAGCTTTTTCCTTTAGTATAGGTCAACTTATATTAATGTTTTTGCATATTTCTACACTGCCCAAATCATGTAAACAAGCATTTTTCTAAATTAGGAAATTCAGCAATTCTTGTCTTTTACATAGAAGACTTTCTCCCGATTCAAACCACTTTTCACTGCTTAATGAGGTGCGATGCCCAAATTATTCGTTTAAGTTATAGACGGTTTTTATTTTAAGTAATAGAGGTTTTAGACTCCGAAGGGAAGGGAACAGAAAATTTTATGAATTTATAGAGATTATTACGTTATCCACGTTTAAGTTATCAAGGTTCTACTGTATTGCAATGCTGACAAAATCACCAAAGTACGTAGAAGTCATATAAGTGATACTTAGCACTGCTAAGCACAACTGCTATGCCGACTATCAAAGAAAGATGACCATGATAACACTCAATTCGCTCGAGTTGTCTTTTTCAACCGTAATTTTACGATCTTAGGCTTGTCTCCTTGTCTGTCAAAAAAGAACGTTGGTAGCACTGCAGGTCTGTCATACTACGGAACCCAACCACTCAACTTCAGAGATGCTGTCTTTAACTGTACATCCGCCATTAATTGTAACATTGATGATTAACTGCGATGTGATTTCTGTTATTTGTTTCATAACGACATCATTGCGATGACGTTATGCTTATTAAGCTTGAAAAAAAAATCATTTTTCTGAATTGGCAGATTTATTCAATAGATAAACGAATTCGATGCTTTTCAAAGTTCACCTTTGTGCGTTTGAGTGTAGAAGACGTACTTTTATTTCTTTTACTTTATTGGCCCAATTTTTAGCTCTCACGAAACCGTAAAGGGTCCTAAGGGCCTTTGATGCTTAGCGCTCTTTGATTATTATTATTATTATTTGGGGTTCATATTATTGAGAGAGCATCTGTAGACCATGGATCGCTTAAGGTTACCATAATAATAACCCAAACAATTCAAAAATGTACAAATAAGCCTAAAAACACTCGATATAAAGATCCGGTTACACATGATACGGTAAAATAACACAGGAACGACGTTTTCCTTGTATCCGGAGGGGTGTGAATTACCAATATTGAAATCTGAAATGGGACCATTATTAAACAAGGGTGCAGATCGAAGGGTAGTTGCAACTCGGAAGAAAAATATAGCAAAAAATATTCCGGAATTAATTTATTTTGATTTCGTTTTAATTTTTGGCCGTACTAAATGAAAACAACTTTTTCTTTCTGACTGTAGCACTGAACAATTCAAAATAATATTCTCAAATCGATTCTACAAAAAAGAAATGGTTCCTGAAGCGAATCAAATATGCTTCGCACGGGTGCAATGCTGATACTAAATATACTACAGAATGTCTGTATTTACAACATTCGCAGTTTTTTTGTCATTAGACAATACAAACCGGCCGGTACCGCCACAACCACTAAGTCCCTGTATTTTAAACTGTAATATCTCTTCGAAAATATTCATTTAAATTACATGCTGTAAACGGTCATATTGATCTATATTAAATGCAAAATGTATTTAAAAGTACCTACTTAATTGGATAAGGATTAATAGTGTATTGCTTAAAATCGCTTCGTAAATAAGCCATTATTTCTCCTAAAAAGTAAAGGATAAAAATTGGTTATTGTGGGTTATCCCTAAGAGATAGACATATACCATCCCGGACTTTTTTGTAGACCTTTTTAACATATACAATACTGTAGTACATTATTTTGATCTATCTCGTGGGGTTCAGCCAGCGTTTGCAATGCAAGTCCAAAAAATATGTTTATTTACGACATCACATTAGAAACCTCTAAAATTATCAGTGTTTCTCTACTATATTATGCATGTATTATACATATAAACCTTCCTCTTAAATTACTCTATCTATTAAAAAAAAACCGCATCAAAATCCGTTGCGTTATTTTAAAAATCTAAGCATAGATAGGGACAGACAGCGGGAAGTGACTTTATTTTATATTATGTAGTGATTAGACATTATTTTCCATCATACAATAGCATATCTAATGATGCGAAATTCAAATTTTTCTTATCTGAATTCTTCTAGTTTTTCGTCTGTGATTAATATTAGCTATAACCTTACTTTCCACCTACTTCAAATGCCGTTTAAAACTATTTAATTGCCTATAGAAAAATACAATTTTTGTGGAGAATGTTAAGCAGCAGGCCGTGAAACTTGTAATTTCAGCATAACAACAACAACAAAGCTTTCACCCCATCGTATTCAGTTTGCGTATTTTGCCGTGCGAAGCAAGATTATTCCGATCCTCTTTCTATTCAAGGCAAAATCGGTTCGAAAACCCCTTTTTCACACATATTTCGGCCCTGTCAATCATTTCGACACCTGGAATTGACACGAACATTAAGAGTTCTGTGGATACGGTTTGAAAAACGAATAATGTTCAATAGCATCAGCAAATAACTAGTAAATTTCTACCACAAGAGGTACCTTGCATCATGAAATACTTTTGATCAGGTATTCTTTTGTTTTCGTAAAACAAAAATGGTATTAGATATTGTTTCGTGTAAGTTAACGAATTTTTGCTAGGTTATGTTAGCCCATGTAACTAGGGTTGCCACCCGTACTTTATTATAAAGTATTGTACTCTATTTCGACTGTGCGTACGTTACACTTTACAAGACACATAAAGTACGCAAAAGTACTTTATTTAAGGCCTGAAGTAAACATCGTAATTTTGTAAGCGATTACTCTAAATTCAGAGTATTTTTACATCAATATTGCATAGAAAAATGGCAAGCCATATTTACGGAAAAACCTGATTTCCCAAATCTGTTCAAAGTAGTGTCACTTTTGCTATCCGTTCCGGCCACTTCAGCCTTTACAGAAAGAGTATTCCCTGTTATGAACGCAAAGTAACGGGACGACAGGAATAAAGCTTCATTAAAACTAATGAACTTTGAGTTTATTTAAATCTTTGTTTGCCATGTTTAGAGGCTATTAATGTATTTAAGAGCAACAGCAATTTGTTACTGGCTGCTAGGTGTAACAAAAAATATGTTTTTAAAAACAAAAAATAAAATACTTTATTTTTATGCT